CATACTCAAGAAACAGTTCCCAGTAGCACGGTGACAAAGGTAGGCAGGTCTCCACTTGGCGGGAACTCCATGCGGACCTGGAAGTGGCTTGTGCTTGGGTGGTTTTGGCGAGAAGCCCCGGGCAGGCTCAAATGCCAGCGCTGCCATCTGTCTGAATACAGGGGGCTCGGGGGCCCTGGCCAGCCACCTGGTCCTTCCTATAAACTGGGTTTCTGCTACATGGACTCCAGGCCCTGCAGGTGACATGCCCCTGGCATTTCAGGCGACATGGTGGGAGTACTCCAGAATTGGAGAGGTGGCCTGGGGCTATCGGAGAGGTCAGCTTTAGTTTGGATGTTACTGCCATTCTGTCAACAAAGTGTCTGAGAATGTACTGTGCCGGGCCCTGGGAACAGAGAACAAGCCCTGAGCAGAAGCGGTAGGTGACAGAGGAGAGGAAAGACCAGAGATTACACAGAGCAGCGGCCTCGGCCCCTGTCCCACCCCTGCGCACCCTGCACTCACCAGTCGTGGCTCCCTGCTCCCTGAGGCCTCCAGCCCCCCTCATCCCATGCTGCCCTCCATGGACTGCATGGCTGGAAGGGTGAGAGAGCAGAAGTCAGCACTGGCTGGGGTGGGGGCGCGGTGCTTGAGGACTTGAGGAGAGAGGCAGCAGGGAGCCTGTGCCCCCCTTGGAGGGGCCTCAGGGGTCACCCAGTCCACCTTGACTAGAAGGGAGCCCCCTTCAGAAGCATCCAGGGCTCTGGAGGCGCTGGCTGAGGGCGGACAGTTCCCAGAGCCATGCCCTGGGACACAGAGGGCTGGTGGCTAGGAAAGGGGTTAGGAGGGCGTGTCCCCTCTGTACGCCCCAGCTGGCATGCCCTGCCTTGGGCCTAGGAGGAGGGCAGGGCAGGGGGCAGCTGCAAATGGCGGAGGGGGCCTGACAGGCCTGGCAGGTTACATCTCACATTCTCCTGCAGCCAAACTGAGCGGGGCCCCAGCAGGTGACCGAGCCCTCTTCTCCTCCCCCGATATCCCCAGGTTCAGCCAGATTCTGTACCCCTCAAGAGCTGCACCAGAGTCGGCCTCGGTTGTAATTTGGGGAGCATGAAGGGGCCCCAATACCTCCGTGCCTGAGCTCACACTCAAGACAGCCAGCACCCAGTCAAGGAGCCAGCACGGAGATCCTATGTTTAAACCAGGGCCATCCCGACAGGATGTGTTTTGGAGCCGCTGCCACCTGCTCTTGACTCACAGGATGAGTCCTTTCTCTGGGCTTCGGTTTCTCCATCTGAGTGTAGGGCGGGACTATCTGTGGTGACAGGCAGCTGGCAGTGGGTCTGGAGAGAGTTTCAGCCCCTCTGCGCTACTTACTGTGCTCTCGGCCCACTTCTGACCCCAGAGCTCGGCTGGTGGTGACAGCCTGGTCTGGGGGTGTGCCTGAATGCCCCCTCCCCCGGGGTAGAGTGGGAAGAGCACGGCTGCCAATGCTCATCATCCCTCTGCAGCCCCAGGGGCACTGCAGCTTGGGGGGACGTCACACACAGGGCTCCCCAGGCCCCTGGGCTTGTGGGATAAGGAGGGAGGAGCATGCCCAAGGGCCCCCAGCTTTCAAGAACTAAAGTATTTGTGTGAAAATGGCACCTGGTTGCACAGTTCTGGGAGAAAAACAGCACAGGCTAGTGGGGCGGGGAATGGGGGGCTTGGGGCACTCTGTACCTCAGATGGCGGCTCCCCCTCTTTGGGCCTCTTCTGACAAAAGCATTGGTTTAATTGACCTCCACCAACCCTCAAGAATTCAAGCATTGAGGAGGCCTGGGATGGCCACGTGTCACTCCCCGCCCCCCACTGCCCCGGCCTGCCAGCCAGGAACCCCCACACCCCCACCTCAGACAGATCCAGCCATGTGGAGGGGCAGGAGTGCTCCCAGGACACCCGCCTCTCTTGTGCCCAGCTTATCGACACTCCTTACCCACAAGGGGCTCTGGGGAGGGGCCGCAGCCAGGCCAGCTGTTCCCATCCCTCATCACTCGCCTCCCCTCCAGCCATGGTCCCCACCCCCCCAGAACAACATGCCTTCCAGGCCCTGGCGCCTGAGCCGCCCCTGGGTCACATGGGGGGCAGTGCCTGACACTCTGGAAGAAGAGATGGGGGCACAGCATGGCCAGTTCCCCCCAGTCACCCAGGGTCTGCGACAACTCCTGGTCATTGGGTTAGGGGCCCCAGGGCAAGGACAGGAGATACACGCTGGGCTTTGGGGGCTCCAAGCTTGGGGGTGTGTCTGTCGGGGCCTCCCAGAGCCATGAGCTCAGGGCTCTGATGGGGGTCAAGGTGCCCCTTGCCCTCCAGGGAGGGGACAGCTCATTCGCCCTTGGCCAGGAGGGGGATGGGGCTCAGCACTGCCTGCTCCCCGGGTCACTAGGCTGTTTGTGTCTTTGTTGCAGAGCCTGGGCCTCTCACTAGGGGTCCTGGGGCTGAGGAGGCCCAGCACCCTGTTCCCTTGGCGCCGGGCTCCCACGCCGGGCCGTGTGCGGAGAGCCTGGGTCATCCCCCCCATCAGTGTGTCGGAGAACCACAAGCGCCTTCCTTACCCGCTGGTGCAGGTGAGGGGGAGGGGCCAGAGTGGGCAGAGCCAGGGCTGGCTGTCCTCATGGGTCCCTGAACATGTGTGCTTTAAACGGAGGAGCCCTTGGAGCCACAGGCTGAGCTGCCCACCCTCACTGGGGGAGGGTCCAGGACTTCAGAGAGGGAAGGACCCCTCCGCTGAGGGCACGTCCCCCAGCCCATTTCCTACCCCTGCAGATCAAGTCGGACAAGCAGCAGCTGGGCAGTGTCATCTACAGCATCCAGGGGCCCGGTGTGGACGAGGAGCCTCGAGACGTGTTCTCCATTGACAAGTTCACAGGGAAGGTGTTCCTGAATGCCGTGCTGGATCGGGAGAAGACAGACCGCTTCCGGGTGGGGCACCTCCCCACTCCAGCCTTCTGTTCCCATGTCTGGCTAAGACAGCTTCCCCGGCAAAATCTGGTGTCCTTAATTGAGGGGCAGATTCGGGGATTTGGAACTAGGACCTGCAACCTTAGGAAGCAGGTGTTCAGGATTCTATCCCCATTTACCAAAGGAGCAAACCAAGGCTCCATGGAGGAGCAGCTTGGCCCTGGCGGGAGGACTGCAGGAAGGGTGGGCGCTGCCCCCCTGGAAAGAACCAGCTGACACTGATGTCACCCTCTTCGCCCATAGCCAATTCTCCCGGCTATGCTGGTGGGGATGGTGTGTCAGGAGAATCCCGTGGTCTTGCCAAATCCCATCAGCAAATACCCCTTGATTCGCAGGGGCGGACCCCGGGCAAGGCACCACGCAACCCACCCCTCAGAGGGTTTGGGATTGAGAGATCTGAGAGAGAGGGCAGTGCGGAGGGAAATAAGGAAACACAAAGCCGCACTTACTGCCCCTTTCGAGTGGCCCTCGTGGGAGCCACAGATGTTTGGGGATCACAGTTTCCGTCCTTGATCTCTGCTTGACCAGCTGCGCGCCTTCGCTCTGGACCTGGGAGGATCCACCCTGGAGGAGCCCACGGACCTGGAGATCGTGGTTGTGGATCAGAATGACAACAGGCCTGTCTTCCAGCAGGAGGTGTTTGCTGGCCGAGTCCTGGAGGGTGCCATCCCAGGTGAGGCAGGAGCCCGGCCCCCCGCGCCCACTGTTCCCACGCGGGAGGGGCTCTGGGTGGGTCAGAAGTTCAGGATTTTCCTTTAGCAAGAATTTCAAGGTCCTTCAAAGAGTCTCAAAATAAGTAAATAGAGTCTCCAAAACTAAGGGAATTTCCGCAAGTCAACTCAAGTCACTTTCCACTTCAATATAAATTTCAAACCCCCAATTCTTCCAAAATTTATGAGAGGATTTGTGGATAGCAAAGCTCGGGCTGCTGCTGCTGCTTCCTTGAAATTAAGGTGAAATTCACATAACAAATTTAAACATTTAGAAAGGAACCCTTCAGTGGCATTGAGTACTTTCACGGTGCTGTGCAACCTCATCTCGTTCCAGAACACTCTCATCCCCACCCCGCCCCCGCCCCAAAGGAAACCCCAAGCCCATTAAGCAGTCACTCCCTCTTATTGCTTCTTAGTTCTACATTTTGACGGCAAACAACACACAATCCTCTGTTCTTTAACAGTCTTTACAGAAGGTTCTCACTTGTCTGAGTCTGTTCCAGGGCAGACAGATTCCATTCCAGACAGTGAGCCCTTCTTTCCCCCCTGCTCTCAGGGGGCTGGTCAAATCCAAGGCGAGCAGAGTGCATCCCTCTCCGGATGGGACCGCAGCACTGATTCATGGCAGAGGTGTGTCCTCTTTTGCCACGCATAGTTATTTCATCCCATGTTTTGTTTTTCATGACTTAAAATGACAATCCTTTTTTTTCTTTACTTTTAACTTTTCATTTTGACATAATTTAAGACGTACAGAAAGGTTCCAAAGAATTCCTGTATGCCCTTCCCGGAGATGTGCTGCGTAGTGTGTTTGCTTTTAACCTTTTCTCCTTCCCTCCCTTCTTTCACTGCTGGTTGCCAGCCTGATGCCGTCAGTATATATAATGATAACTCGGCCACGGTATACTTGTCAAAATCAGGAAGTTAATATTGACATATACCAATAGCCCAATACTGTTTTTTATAGCAAAAGAAAACCCTGCCTCATCTTATAGTTCCTGTCTACTCTGAATTCCCTGTCTGTTCATGCATGTTGCCCACCTTTTCCATGAGAGCCTTTCACACACTAATAGTAGTTCTTTCAGAGGTCTGTCAGGTAAAAGCCCCAGTGTTTGCTGCTCGATCTTGGAGGATGGATTTTTTTTTCCTCTCTTGCTCTTCTGTGGGTAACAGCAGAAATGGAGGTAAATAGTGAATGCCTGGGAATGGGCAGCGGGGGGAATGGCTCACTTTGGGGAGGCAGATAGCAGGCAGGTGTCATCTGTAGGTGGGCCAGCCTCGGCCTCTGTTGCTGGTTTAGTTCAGCTTCCTGGGGCTTCTCTTGGTATTTCTGCTGCACTTCAGACTTCAGCAGGGGCTGCATGCCCACCACGGAGGGGTCTCTCCATGCCCCTACCTGCTCCCAGGGTGACTGTTGTTGCATGGTACCTGGGCAAGGCTCCTGGTAGGGGCAGGAGTCTCAGTTATATGTGGTCCATGTGTACCTGAGCCGCTGGGGTGAAGCTTTTTCAGGATTCCTGCCCCTTCCCCAAGGCAAACCGCCTGTCTGTCCTCCTGCTTAGAGCAGGGTCCGTTCCTCCCCCAGCAACCCCGTCATCACCCTGCAGTTGTGAACAGTACAGAGCGCCAGCAGGCTTCTCCAGTTCTCCTGCTCAGCCCAACCTAGGCAGCCCCTGCAGGCCCGAGCCATAGGTGCCTTCCAGGGCCTCTTCCTGCCCCGGTCTCTCTCATCAGCCCTTGTGGGATGCTGTGGAAAGCACAGACGAAAGAGATCCCTTTGGGTGGGGGCTCCCAAGACTGTGAGCTGTCATGCTAGCCCACGCTCAGCCTTTGAGAGTCTGATCCAATTTCACCTCTTCTCTTCCTGCTTCTGCGGTGGCTGTGTCCTCCTGCCTTGCTCCAACAAAGGCGAAAGCCACTGTCCTCAGAGAAGCTGGTCACATCCCGAATTCTGGTTTATCAGGGTGCCTTCTGCCCTCACCGATCTGACGAACTCAAAATAAGTGCTATTTTGTGGATTACGCACTCGTTCTCATTATTAGGGCGGAACTGACTTTTTCTTTGCAAGCACCAGGGCCTCCTCATCTCTCTGTCTGGAACAGTCCCTTAGCCATTAGGTTTTCTTGACGCTGACTTTTAAAAAAACGTTTATGGTGGTAAAATACACATAACATAAAACTTACCATTCTAACTTTTTTTTTTTTTGGTTGTTTTCCTGAAAAAAGGGAGAAAACTGATTTTATTTTATTCATTCATTCATTCATTCATTTTTATTATGATGACATTGGTTAATGGAATCCAGTAAGCTTCAGGTGTACAATTCAAGAGTAAGGCACATATATATTGCATTGTGTGTTCACCGCCCATAGTTCGATTTCTTTCTGTCACCACATGTTTGACCCCTTTTACCTCATCTACCTCCCTGATCTAACTATTTTTAAGCATGCAGTTCAACAGTATTAAATATATTCAAAATGTTGCATGAGTGTCACCAGCAACCATCTCTGGAACTTTTCCAACTTTCCAAACTGAAACTCTGTCCCCCTCAGTCACTAACTCCCCACCCCGCTCTCCCAGCCCGTGGCAGCCACCGTTCTACTTTCTGTCCCTACTGTAGGGGCCTCATGTGAGTGGAATCATACAGCATTTGTCTTTTCGTGACTGGGTTATTTCACTGAGTATACTCTCCAACCATGTCGTCGCATGTGTCAAGGTTTCCTTCCTTTCTAAGGCTGAATAATATTCCGTTGTACGTATGTACCACATTTTGGTTATCCATTTATTCGTCCATGGCTACTTGAGTTGCTTCTATATGTTAGCTGTGGTGAATAATGCCGTTACGAATATGAGTGTACAAGTGTGTCTTTGAGACTCTGCTTTTAATTCTGAAATAGAGTGGCTGGGTCGAACGGTAATTCTGTTTTTAATTTTTTGAGTAACTGCTATACTGTTCACGGTGGCTGCACCATTTTCTGTTCCCACCGACAGTGCACGGGGTTCCAACTTCTCTACTTCCCTGCCAGCACTTATCTTCTGTGTTTTGGGTAGCCACCCTAGTGGGTGTAATTATTACTTGCATTTCCCTAAAGATTAGTAATGTTGAGCATCTTTTCATGTGCTTATTGATCATTTGTACGTCTTCTTTGGAGAAATGCCCGTCAAGTTCTCTGCTCGTTTTTGAGTCAGGTTGTTTATTATTGAGTTTTTAGGGGTTCTCTATATATTCTGGATACTAATCCCTTACGTATGATTTTCTTCCATTCTGTGGTTGTCTTTTCACTTGATACTGTCTTTTGATGAACAAATTTTTAAAATTTTCATGAAGTCCGGTTTGTTTCTTTTTCTTTTTGTTGCCTCTGGTGTCATATCCAAGAAATTATTGCCAAATCCAGTGTCATGATGCTTTTGCCCTGTGTTATCTTCTAAGTTTTATAGTTTTAGGTCTTACATTTAGGTCTCTGATCCATTGTGAGTTTTCAGTTTTGTATGCGGTGCCAGATAATTATGGGTCCAATTCATTCGTTTCATGTGGATATCTAGTTTTCCTAGCACCATTTGTTGAAAAGACTTTCCTTTCCCCCATTGAATTGTGTTAGCCTCCTTATCAAAAATCATTTGACCATATAGTGAGGGTTTGTTTATTCCTGGGCTCACTATTCTATTCTCTTGGCCTATATGTCTGTCTTTATGGCAGTCCCACACTTTCGATCACTAGACTTTTGTAGTAAGTTTTAAAATCAGAAAGTGTAAGTCTTCAAGTTTTAGTCTTCATTTTCAAGATTGTTTTGGCTATTTGGGTTTCCTCAAAATTTCATATACATTTTAGAATTGTTTTTCAATTTATATAAAAAAAAAAAAAGCCTTGGGATTTTGATAGGGATTACATTGAATCTGTACCTCACATCAGTTAGTACTGATATTTTAACAAGATTAAGTCTTCCAGTCCATGAATATGGGATGTGTTTCCATTTACTTATGTCTTCTTTTAGCAATGTTTTATAGTTTTCATTATATAAGTCTTTTACTTCCTTAATCATGATGCTGACATTTTGAAGCATTTAAGCACTTATTTTGAAGATTGTCTCTGAATGTCTGTAGGTGGGGCTGAGGACAGCACCTGCTCGGCATGCCAGCACATCATCTGCCTCTCAGGTGTCTGGGGTTCAGGGTCAGCGCAGGTTCTTCTGCTTGTTCACCTGGACCCAGTGCTCTCAGCCCCTGCCTGGCTGTCTCGGTGTCTTGTGGGAGACACAGGTGTCAGCTCTTATCGACCCTATAACAGACACTCCTGTGTCTTCCCCCAGAAACAACACAAGACAAAAGGCTTGGACGTTGAAGTTTGCGCAGGCCAGATGCGGGGAGGGGTCTGGACCTGGCATAGTGGGCTGCAGGGGGGCAGGAGTTAGGGGTTGCCACTGTGGGTATCGCACACACGTGTCCTCATCCTTCCCAGGCACTTATGTGACCACGGCTGAGGCCACGGATGCTGACGACCCAGAAACAGACAATGCGGCCCTGCGGTACTCCATCCTGGAGCAGGGCAGCCCCCAGCTCTTCAGCATCGACGAGCACACAGGGGAGATACGAACGGTGCAAGTAGGCCTGGATCGAGAGGTGAGGCCACCACCGCTCCACTTCGAAAGCTAGGGACAGGGAAGCCAGTGTCACATTTGGCTCATCTTTGCTCACCTCTTTGGTGCTCTTGGCTGAGCAGGAGCAGCTCATGTCGAGGTGGGCCCTCTGCCCCGGCCTTGCCTACCCAGACCCTGCCTCCCCTACAGTTGAAGGGGGCCCCCAGTTGCTGCGGACATTCACGGTGGCTCTGGGTGGAGACTCAGCTTGGGGTGCACCTGCCTCCTGTGTGCTTGTGGAGTTAGGTTGAGAGAGGGCGTGAAAAGCCCTCAGCATGGCACCTGTCCCTGACACACTCTCGGCATGTTTTCTGCCAAAAATCTCCCTACCTTATTACCTTACTCAGCATTCAGGCTCGTCACCTGGGGTAGGGCCATCCCCTCACCTCTCGAGCCCCACAGCAGCCACTTGTGCTCTGGAGTGACAGAGCAGCTGGGACCACTGCTGCCTGTCACCGCTGGCACCTCTGGGAAGCTTCCTTTGGTTTCTCCACAGCCACCTGTGTGGCTCTGTCTGGTCCCTCGCTGTGTTAGGTGGTCTCCATCTCTCTCTCTCTCTGCCACGCCCCAGGGCAGGGACTCAGCTCGTCGGTGCCCCTCCGTGCCCGGCATGCAGTAGGTGCTTCGCATACGTTTATTTGACTTGGTACCTGATCTCTTGCTCCCTCCTGCACCGGGGCAGAGTCGGAGGTTGACAGTGGTGCTGTCAGACCCTGAGAGGCCAGGCAGCACATTTTGCCCCAGAGCTTGGGAGCAGGCAGGGTGCTTGGAGTCACTTGGTGCTTGGAGCAGGGGACTCTGCTGCCCACAGGGCTCGCCTGTGTGGGCCGAGCTCACAGGTGGCCTGCTCCTTGCCCTGCCCCGCCCCCAGCCCTACAGCAGCCGGCCAGCCCTGGCCTTGTTCCCACCCTATCTCCTGACCCCATGTTGCCATCCCCCCAGGTGGTCGCCGTGTACAATCTGACCCTGCAGGTGGCAGACATGTCTGGAGATGGCCTGACCGCCACCGCCTCAGCCATCATCACTGTTGAGGATATCAATGACAATGCCCCTGGGTTCACCAGGGATGAGGTGCCACCACTGTCCCCACCCCCTCCAGCCCCTGCTACGGATGACCTTCCCTCCTCAGGCCCAGCGGGGAGGGTGGGCGGCTGGGTGCTTTGGGGAAGGAGTCCTGCACAAGTACCACAGAGACCTGAGTTGGGGGTCAACAAAGGCGGTGCTTGTGAGCGGTAAGCAGAATCAGGCAGAGCCAGAGAGAGACCCTGGGAGAAACATTCCAGATACCCCTTCTATGTCTCCCCCAAGCCCTTGTGCAGCTGGGAGCTGGTCCTACAGAGAGGGACTCAAGGGGCCCCTGGGGGAACAGTGACTCCCAAGGCAGACAAACCTGGGAAGACACCCCCAGTGGGTAGGCAGCAGACTTAGCCAGGAGGGAGTGAGGGAGGGCGTCCCCACCCCAACAACCCCGGAGGTAACCAGGGTGGTGTCCTGCAGTTCTTCATGGAAGCCACAGAGGCCGTCAGCGGAGTTGACGTGGGGCGGCTTGAGGTGGAGGACGGGGACCTGCCAGGCTCACCCAACTGGGTGGCCAGGTTCACCATCCTGGAGGGCGACCCCAATGGACAGTTTGCTATCCGCACAGACCCCAAGACCAACGAGGGCGTGCTATCTGTGGTGAAGGTGAGCAGGGTGCACGGCTCCCCGTGCCCAGGTCTTGCCACGGGCAGAGCTGAGGAGGACACCTCTCCCCACACCCTGAGACCCCAGTTGGACCCTCTGTGCATCTTCAGGAGACAGCAGAGGGAGGGACAAAGCCAAGAGGGTGGGCAGTGCTGGCACTGCAGGCTCAGGCCGCACTGACCACAGGGCAACAGGGCCACTCCCACAAGCCTGTGTGTGATTTACAGCGTGCTGCCACCTTACGTGTGTGATCAGTGTGTATGAATACAGACGACACCTGCATCAGCCAGATATGAAACCAGAGAACCAGTAAGAGATACATGTACACACACGTGTGTATATACGTGTAGAGATGCAGATATATTTAGACACTGATATGTGAAGACATCTATTCCCAGACACTTGCTCGTGCCATCATGGAGGCCGGCTGGGCCAGTCTGAGATCTGTAGGGTGAGCCAGCAACTCAGGAGCTGGTGCAGCAGTCTTGGGGCAGAATTCCTTCCTCAGAGATCTCAGTTTTGCTCTTAAAGACTTTCAACTACGATGAGGCCCACCTAGATGGTCCCGGATAATCTTCTTTCTTTAAAGCAAGATGATTATAGAAGTTAATTTAACCACATCCACCAAATACCTTCTTGGCAACACCCAGATGAGTGTTTGCTTCAGTCACTGGGGAGGACCACCCGACCAGGCAACACATAAAACTGACCACACGGCACCCAACAAATTCAGTTTGAGAGATAAGTATTTATTTTATCGTTTTTACATTATTCCTTGTGCCTTTTCTGTCCCGTGTAATTTTTATTTTTCCAAGGCCGTAAAGGAGAAGGAGAGTAGGGGGCTCCAAGGACCACCCCAGGGGTCAGCAGCACCACCGTGGAGGCCTCTCCTGGCCCCGTAGGCCCCGTAGCTCAGGTGCCCAAACGTGAGTGGGGGCTGGAGTCCTGAGCAGGTTACCAGCTCTGTTTCCTCCTCATCCCCCCACCCCTCAGCCTCTGGACTATGAGAATTGTGACCAGTATGACCTCAGAGTTGTGGTGCGGAACGAGGCCCCCCTGCAGGCGGTGGCCTCCAGGCCCGAGCGGGGCCAGGCCAGGGTCAGAGTGCAAGTGCAGGACGTGAACGAGGCGCCCGTGTTCCAGGAGAACCCACTGCGGACCAGCCTGGCCGAGGGGGCAGCCCCAGGAACTCCTGTGGCCGCTTTTTCTGCCCAAGACCCTGACACGCAGCAGCTGCAGAGGCTCAGGTGACCTCACTGCCCCTGCGCCAGGGGCCCTGGGGGTGAGGCACAGGGAGCTGATGGCCCCATTCCTCTGTTTCCCTGGTTCCCTGCTGAGGCCAGGAGCACAGCTGAGGGTACCCCGGCCCCTGTGCCCGGAGGGTTCCCATCAGGGCCCTGGTCAGAGTGTGGAGGGCTCACCTGTGTGTGTCCCTGACAGCTCAGGGAGTCTCAAGGCTCACGTGTGTGCATATTGGTGCGACCTTGTTCCGTAGGGCAGGCCTGGGCACACTGCACACTGACATGGCCGCTGTCTGTCCTGGCCAGCTTCTGAGTGCCCAGCCCTGTTCATTCTGGCGAGGGCTGCTCTCATGGGACTGGCCCTGGTTGAAATCTTGGATTTCAACCCCAGCCCGGCCCTGCATTATCTGTGTCTGTGTCCATGGTGCCCATGGGTTGAATCTTATGGATATGATACTGTGTCACTCAGTCACCATGGGACCCCGGGCAGCTCACCTGCCTCCCTGAGCCAGTTTCCTCATCTGTGATTTGGAATAGAAAACACCAGCTTAAGGCCTCAAAGGCATGTGTGTGTGTGTGTGTGTGTGTGTGCGCTTGCGTGCGCGCATATGCATGGGGAAGATGTATGTATGTGTGTGTCTGGGTGACCACACCTCTGGAGGGTGTCCCGTGTAGGCTCAGGGTCACCCTGTCCCTTCCTGCCCTCCTTGGCTGACAGCTACTCCAAGGATTATGACCCTGAGGACTGGCTGCAAGTAGATGGAGCCACGGGCTGGGTCCAGACCCGGCGTGTGCTCAGCCCGGCGTCCCCCTTCCTGAAGGATGGCTGGTACAGGGCCATCATCCTGGCCCACGACGATGGTGAGCACTGAGCCCACACCTGGGCTCCAAGGCTTCCTAGCCCAGGCTGGGTGTCCCCACTGCTGCCCAAGGATTAAGAGCTGGCCTTCCACTAAGCAGACTTGTAGGTGGGCAGTGGGCTCCAGGAGGGACAAGGAACCCACCAGGCCTCTTCTGCCTGCAGCCTCCCCGCCCTGCACAGCCACTGGGACCCTGTCCATTGAGATCCTGGAGGTCAACGATCATGCCCCTGAGCTGTCCCCACCTTCTGGAAGCCTGTGCAGCAAGCCAGACCAAGGCTCTGGCCTTCTCCTCAGTGCCACAGATGAGGACCTGCCACCCCATGGGGCCCCCTTCCACTTCCAGCTGAGCCCCAGGTTTCCAGAGCTGGCCCGGAACTGGAGCCTCAGCCAGATTAACAGTGAGCTCCACCCTCCCCCACCCTGAGGGTCCAGCCTTGGGACCTGGGGGGGCACTCAACACGTGTTCCTACCTGAGTGTATCCTCAGGCGGGGCAGGGGGCAGGGGTTAGTTATCAGGCCCAGTGGGCAGAAGGGAAACAGACCCATCATTCCATGATCCCCATGGCACATGGAGCGGACATGGCCAGTCCAGGAGGGGCCTGCTGACCTCAGGCACTCTCCACAGTGAGCCATGCGCGCCTGCGGCTACGTCACCAGGTCCAGGAGGGGCTGCACCGCCTCAGCCTGCTGCTCCAAGACTCAGGGCAGCCTCCCCAGCAGCGCGAGCAGCCCCTGAACGTGACTGTGTGCCGCTGCAGCCGGGACGGCACCTGCCTGCCAGGGGCTGCTGCCCTGAGGACTGGGGGCGCGGGCATCAGCCTGAGTGCTCTGGTCATCGTGCTGGCCAGTGTCATCCTGCTGCTCCGTGAGTGCTAGCACCCTGAGACCCTTGCCTTCAGACCCCGGCACCCTGGGACACCATGCCCTCCTCCCCCACTCCCCATGCCCCATGCCCCACATAGCCCCCATGCAGACCTGCCAAACACCTACCTAGCCCTGTCTGCCTGCCCAGTGCTCGCCCTGCCCGTGGCCCTCCTTGCACGGTTCCAGCAGCAGTCGTGGGACAAGGGGCTTCTGCAGGGGCTGCAGGACGATCTCAGAGATAACATCCTCAACTATGATGAGCAAGGGGGCGGGGAGGAGGACCAGGTAAGGGCAGGGGTGGGGTGGGCAGCGTGCCGTTTCAGAATGCTGGGCAGTGGGAAAGGTCCTTGGGAGTCCAGGTGGTGGGCCAGCCCCTAGGATCCAAGGGGAGGGGCCTCCCCAGATCCTCTCTCCCTACGCCCAAACTCCTGAGGCCTGTCTCGGGAAGGTGCCTGGGATGGAAACCTACCCTGTCCTGGATCCTGGCTCAATTCCATGCACTTTGTCCACAGGATGCCTACGACATCAGCCAGCTGCGCCACCCAACAGAGGTGGCAACCCTGAGCACCCCTCTGGGACGGCCACCACTGCGCCGGGACACTCCATTCGGCCGGGCACGGCCCCCACCACCCCGCGTGCTGCCCGCCAGCCCTGCTGACATCGCAGACTTCATCAACGATGTAGGTCTCCCAGGGGTGGGCGGAGAGGGCAGGAACTAAGATGGGCATGCACATACCCATACACGCACACCACATGTCCACGTCTCTGTCTACTCCTGTGCACGTGCTGTCATGGGGTGTGGGCTCACTGCTGGGGTTGCTGGCAGAGCTTCGAGGAAGCTCCTGAGAACCCGAGAGCTGAGTGAAGCTGGGGGAACAAGGGGCCACAGGCACTAAAGTCCTGTGGGAAGAGGAGGCTGGTGACCCCCCGCGCCAGATAGCGGTGCGCCTGGTTTGAGCTGAGGTTGGTTGGGGCCTGCCCTGCAGTTCTGTCCACCAAGCGCTGGCTGAGGAAACTTAACGCCCCCTGCCGGTGGAAGTGCAACTGCCCCCTGAATCCAGGCATCCTTAGTAGTTCCTCTGGACACAGCAGCAGTGACGTCCTGAGGTCCACAGAGGAGATGCCCAGAACATGGAAAATCCAATTGGGTAGGCAGCGGAGGATGCATGCAGGTACTTGTCAGTAGTGTGCCAGGGGCCACGCCTGCATACACTTAGCAGTCTGGCTCCGAGAACGCCCCTGACAGATACCCAGCAAGGGCCAGGTCCTGGTGCAGGTCCCTTTGGGAGCCAGTGTATACACTGACAAGGTGACGGCAGAGTTGGAGGTGACAGACCATTTGCCAAATCTTTAAGAGGCAGAACCAGCTGGTCTCCCAGATGGAGTGTCTGGAAGCCTCAGGTAGGACACAGTCCTCAGGGAGGGCTGGTGACGGTTATGACCCCAAGGAAGGAGAATTGCTCAGAGAGAAGTTTCTCTTTTCAATCTGCATTCTGGGGTGGGGACTACCAATGGTGCCCCCACCATCACGTACTTGAGGCAGCTCCAAGAACACCTCATCACCCCTCAGACTTTCTCTGCCCCTTCCTGGTGCCATACCTCAGGCTGACCTGACCCTGTACTGCAGCTGGGCTGTGTGTGCATGGGTGTTGAGCTCCTGGGACCTCTCCATAGGGCCTAGAGGCTGCGGACAGTGACCTCAGCGTCCCACCCTACGACACAGCTCTCATCTATGACTACGAAGGGGATGGGTCTGTGGCAGGGACACTGAGCTCCATCCTGTCCAGCCTGGGTGATGAGGACCAAGACTACAGCTGCCTCCAGGACTGGGGCCCCCGCTTCGCACAGCTGGCTGACTTGTATGGCACCCCCAGAGGGCCTGAATGAGGGCAGGATGCAGTGGCCACTCAGGACAGAGAAAGGAGCTTTCTGATGAGGACTTGTACCCACCCTGCTGAGGGTACAACCACCTGGACACGTAGGGTGGGCATCCTTACCAAGATGGACAGCCTGACTACAGGAGCACAACTAGACATGCCGACGGTTTGTCACGTGACCGGGAAGATCGGCAGAAGCAGCCACCTGGCTCCATGCCTGGGGACCTTGGGCAGCCTACTTCTCCCAGGGGAGGATGGAGTCCATGGGGCAGAGCCCAAAGCCTGGAGTGGAGCTGCAGGGAGGAGGCACCCTTCCCATCCTGAAGGCCCGATAGCCCTGTTCCAAGTCACCTGCAAGGTGGGGGGCGGGGGGAGTCGGCCACCCCCATTCTCAGGTCTGTCTCCCCCCATGCAGATCTCATCTTTGTATAAAAGGAAGCAGCTCTCCAGCAAATGTGAATTGAAAATGTGCTGTCTTGCCACAGTGACCTATAGGGCCTCACCCCACCCCAGCCCCACCAAGGCTACAGCAGAGGGCTGGTCCTGGGGGCAGTGGATGGGGCTGTGGGCACACTGCCTTGGAGTACTGAGCCTAGAGTGGGGAGCCCCCTCCAGCCCCGGGATGAGGCCTGAGGGAAGAACCAGTGAGGATGCCAAGTTCTATGGATGCCTTTATCCTCCACAAGTGGTGGGGGGTAGGGGCCAGGACCCCGAGGAACAAGGGACCCAAGAGGGGACTCCCCCTTCACACTATCCCCATGGCACCTCCCTGAGACCCCTCTGCCCACACGGAGATGTGGCCATCCGAGGGGAAGTGTGTCTGTCCAGCCAGGGTCACCCCTCCTGGACTAGCTGTGTCTGGGCCCGGCAGTGGGAGGATGGCAGCAGGGGCAGGTGATCCTGGCAAGGGTGGCCCCGAAGGAGTGGCGAGCGGCGAAGGCAGTCAGCATCCTGCAGTGACTGGGGCAGCCTGCGGCCACGGCTCTCGGGCAGCAGCAGGACACACAGCAGGGCAAGGATGGCGAAGGAGGTGAAAACCACGTGTTGCAGGAAGAAGCCCCGCCGGCCATGCGCATCGGCAAGTGGGGCGGCCACCTGGCCCAGGAACCCGGCACCCAGCACGAGGCCCAGCCCTGCCCCCCTGCAGGAGAGGGCACGGTGTGGGCAACCTGGGCAGGTGGCCGCCCTCACAGGCAGATGGGCACGTGGACACAGCCTGTAACTCCCAGTGCCCCCAGGGAGGCCTGGACCCAGCGAGAGCCAGAGGTGTGGGAGCTCCAGGAAAACGAAACTGAAAACACTTTTGTGGAAAAGCTGCTCCTCCCTGCCCTGGAACAAGTTTTGTTCTTTTCAACAGAAAATTGGACAATGATTTTTCCCCTGGAATTCTGCCCTCTCTGGAGGCTGTCTCATTTCTGCCCCTCCTCACACCTGCGTCTCCCCTTCCTCTATTCCTGAGCTGTTGTCCAGACCCTTCAGTGCCAGTGTCCCCCACATCACTCAGGAAAAGACAATCTGAACTCTGCTCACGACAGAATGGAGAAGTCTTCAAGCTAAGCTAGGGAGGGAAATGTGTGGGGTGTCCGGTCCCCGGGGGGCTCTGGGGGCTGGCCTGGCAGGACTCGCATCTGCCATGTGGCTGAAGCTCACCTGATCACTGTGGGGAAGATCTCAGCTGCAAAGAGGCTGCTGAGGATGGACACGGCCTGGGAGGCCAGGAGCCCCAGGACAGAAAGAGAGAGCACGGTCCAGCCTGGCAGGTCTGGGGACAAGGAGAGGGCTCCCACACTGCCCACGTCGGGCCACTCCAAGGCCATCCCTCCCCTCGTCCATGTCCCAGGGGCCCTGCTGGGCCTGGCCTCCCCAACCCTTCACCCCTGCACTTGCACTCTGGGCTTGTTTGTGTGCGGGGCGGGGGGTGGGGGGGTGGAGGCAGCTCTTCCGGGCTGCCCCTGTCCAAACCAGACCCTTATGTTTAGCCCCTTCATGTAGATCTTTTTGATCCCTTAACTTTGGGGGACTGTTTCCCTGGGTGCCCAGTGGAGAAATGAATGGGGTGAGGGAGCCGATCCCAGGACCCTCCCCACCACTGAGCTGACCCTCAGCCCAACAGGACGACCCTGTTAGCCTGCAGGGCACTGCACTCACACTGGGCCCCGGCGAGGAGCAGCAGGGATGCCAGGCCCATGACCAAGGTGCCCAGCAGCAGGATCAGGCGGCGTCCCCAGTGATCCACTGTCAGGAGCAGGAAGACGGTGGCCACTACCTCTAGGCCAGCTGCCAGGAAGTACGGCCCGTAGAAGGTGGGCTCATGAGGGAACAGTCTGTGGAGGAAGCTGGCTTTGATGCCCCCACTGACCAACCTGGGAAGGAGGGCGAAGTTACTGGGTTCAGCCAGAGCTGGGGACTCTGGCGACTAAACCCCCAGCAGAGGTGGGGGACACCGATCCATCTCAGCCCACCCGCGCCCTCCCTTCCTCACGAACTGAAGCCCAGGATGAGTCCATTCTTCCAGGTGATGTGGGTGTGCCAGAGCTCCAGGACCCAGTGGTACCGGGGCTGGGGGCTCCCTGCAAACAGTACGTCCAGCTCTGTGGACAGGAGGAGACATGAGGTGCATATGAGGGGGCGACACCTCTCCTCCAGCACCCAGGCCTCCCTTCTCCTGGCTGATGCGTAAGGAACCTGTAGCCAGGGAGCTCTCCTCCTCAGTGCTGTCCTCCGGGTCCATGCCGCTGGCTTCGGCAAGATGCCACAGGATCTTCCTGGCTCGGGCCAGCTGCCCAGTGGCCAGCAGCCAGCGAGGAGACTCAGGAAACAGGGCTGGGAACCTGGAGGGGTGAGTAAGGATGACTTCAGCTTCCTCCCCACAGGGATGACAAGGGCCAATGCCCCCTCCCTGGTCCCGGGGGCAGGACATCACATGGCTTTGTGTCCCTGTCCCATATCCACATGCCTGGTGCTGCATGGAAGTGCAGAGGGAAGTGATACACACAGCCTCCCGTCTCCTGCCACCTACCCCCAAAAGAGCAGCAGGAGTCCTGTTGCCAGGGCACTCAGCCCCTGCAGAAGGTGCCAGTCCTGTGCGAGCAGGGCCAGCCCAGGCAACAGCAGAGTGCCCACCACTGAGAAGAGGCCGGCCCCAATGCAGAACATCAGGCGGTGTGGTGGATCGCACAGCTCCAGGCCTGGGCAGACACAGATGGCCTGAGGCCGAGGCCTCTCGAAAGGGAAGGCTGCTCGGTCCAGGGCTCTGAGGACCAGCCGCCGACCTGCTCAGGAGCCGGACATCTGAGGCCAACTCACTGCCCACTCCAGCACCTGAGCCTGCCCTCAAATAGCAGAGCTCACAGAGCAAACAGTATCCTCCCATCTTCTCAAGAAGAACCCTCAAAAGAAGTTTGGAGAGGCCTCCCATGCCACCTATGTCCCCCTCCAGCAGGGTCGGAGGCCTAGCCTGAGTGGGTGCCCGGTCTGACTCCCCATGGTACTCACGAGCCACGTAGAGGGCGAGGAAGGCCCCTGCCAAGGCCCCACCGTGAAACAGCCGCAGGGCCAGCAGGGCAGGAAAGCTAGCAGCCAAGGCCTCGCCAGCCCCCAGGCCTGTGGCCAGCACCAGGGAGGCCACAAACATGGCCCTGCGGCCAAACCTGTTGGCCAGTGGGGAATACACATGGATGTAGGTCAGGAAAGCTCAGGCGTTTAGCTGGATGTTCAGGGGCTGGAGGGGAGGGGCAGCACCTCACCGGTCACAGCCCATGCCCAGGATGACGCAGCCCAGCAGCCAGCCAAAGAAGTGGCTCGTCTGCTCCAGTGGTACCTTCCAGCCATCTTCGCACACGAGGTTCCACTGCAGGGGACACCCATTACCTATCAGCCAGCCAGGAACCACCCCCCTTGCTGGAGTCCCCAGAATATCCAGCTGGAAGGGCCCCCTAGATGTCTTGTTCCAGTTCCTCCCTGGAGGAAAGGGGAAACTGAGGCAGAGGGCAAGGGAACTGCTCAAGGTCACATGATGTGTTTTCCTGGCTCTGGTGAGCCTCACGTGGAATTGGAAAAATTCCTGGTCTGAGCCCCCAGAGGGTAACGACCTGCGGTCCCCAGAGTGCCCACACAGAACCCCAAGTCTGGTTTCTGCTTTTCTCCAGATGGAGACTCACACACCTCTCTCCAGCCCTCACTCTCCTCCCATGGCTGGCCCTGGGCTGACATTAGTTACTACTCGCTGTGCCCTGGCCCCCCAGGGCCTCACCCTCGCTTCTCCCCTGCCCTGCTTGCTTCAAGAGCAACTCACTTCAAAAGCAGGGCTGTACTTACCTGCTTTTCCTGGTCAAGGGCCCTTGACCTCAGCTTTGCACCTCCTCACCTCCCTTTCCAGTGTCCTGTGCCTTTTTTTTTTACAAGCTTAACAAACTGTTGTGGGTCACACTACGTCAGAGTTTTTATTTTAAAATCAAATCGCTTGCGAAAGCTGGTGGGGAGCTGATCGATTAGCACACCAACAAGAGGGCAAGTGTGAGGTAGAACAGAATGGGTGGGAGGAGAGAAGCTCTGCCCATCTGAGGGCCCCCAGACAGGCCCGGCAGGAATGTGGCAACCCTGCTCCAGTTTCCACACTAGAGCAAATTCTCTCAGGGGTGGGGGTGCGGCTTCAGGGCTGATGATGCCAAGAGACGGGCAGGCCCTAGCCAGAAGGTAGGACAGGAGGTCCCAGCTGTCGACTCTCCATTTCTCCCCATTCAGACCCCTGTGTTGTCCCTTCAGGAGACCCTGCCTCTAGTCCAACCCTCACACACCTCACAGGTGAAATGTCTGCCTTTCACAAACTCGACTGACTGTACTGTTCCCTTGATTCAAAGCTTCCTGTCTTGGGAACCCAGTCTTGACACAGCCCAAAGCCACATGTTGCTCAAAATGTTTGTGGCACTGAAGTGAACTCCAGGCCCTGTTGACCACCTGGCTGGCACCTACCTGGTCATACCTTCAGCTTAACTCCTCCTCCTCCTCCAAGCTGCCTGCCCCCCTTGGCAGCCCTTGGGCCTCAGACTCTGCCATTGTGCCTGGCAACTCACCAACTTGGGCATCAGCTGCACCGTCAGTCCCCCAAATGAGAGCCCCAGGAGACCAAGAGCAGAGGGCAAGGGGGTGGAAGGGGGGACAGAGGAGGAAGAGCAGAGGAGGGGGTACAAAGGAACGGGACAGAGGGAAGGAGAGAGAGAGGAAGAAGGAATGGAGCAAGGAGGGGACAAAGGGGGACGGAGGAAAGAGGGAGAAAGGAGGGGCACGGTGGGGGGGAGAAAAAGGAAAGGGGGCAGAGGAGAGAAGATAAAAGGAAAGAGGGTCCAGAGGAATGGGGACAGAGGAAGGGGAGACAAAGGAGAGGCCACGATGAAGGGCAGAGAGGGGAACAGAAGAACAGGGACAAAGGGACAGAGGAGTGGGGGTAGAGCAAGGGGGATGGAGGGGGAGGGACGAAGGGGATAGACGGCAAGGGGGGACGAAGGAAGGAGGCAGGGGGAGGGGGAACATGGTACAGAAAACTCAGGTAGTCAGTCCTCCCGCACCTGAGTGACTGGGCTACGCAGCAGGCCGGCGGCGGGCAGCGCGTAGTGCCAGCCTCGCGTGCA